CAGATATGGGAATGCCCAGTACCTCAGACTGTGCCAGGGCTTGGCTAGCATCTCATGAATGTTGACCTAAGCCCAGTTGCCCTCTTGAAGAATCAGAGGGCTTCTCTGGAAGCCCCAGGACTGACCTCAGTGGTACCCCATGTGCACAGGGACAGGCTTTCAGAACCATTCCCTCCCTAACCCCTTCAGACGGGTAAGGAGTGCACCCTGGCATCCGCCTGCAGTGAGTAAGGAGCTAGTATTCCAAAGCAGCTCCTGTGGGCTGTGCCTGGCTTGGCATACTTCCATAAAGATGGCTGCTGGTCTGAATGTGCATGTCCCTCAGTATTCATGGGTTGAAATCTAATTCCCAGTGTGGTAATACTAAGAGGGGGGGCCTTTGGGAGGGTATTAAGTCATGAAGAGTTCTGTCCTCATCCATGAGGTTATAAAGAGGCCCAAAGAAGCTCATCTGTCCCCCTCTGCCATGTGAGGGCTCAGCAAGCAGGTGCCATCTATGAAGCAGAGACACAGCTCTCACCAGACACCCAAACTGCTGATGCCCCACCCCCAGAACTGTGAGCACAAATTTCTGTTGTTTACAAGCCACCCAGTCTATTGTATTTTGTTATAGCAGCCCAAACAGACTGAAACAATGAACTTCTATGGCTTTTTGCAAACACTCAAGTTTAAGACACAAGGATCCTTGGCTCAGTAAAGTCAGACAATTCACACTCATGTCTTAGCAAGGACCAGTCTGCTTCCTTTCCTCTGTATTAGAAACTAAGATCCATACACTGGGGCAAAGGAGGTGCCGCCTGGGAGGCTGCTCATCAAGCAGACGGCATCAGGCCTGAAGGGTAATGTAAGAACTAACCCAGGATGGGCACTTACGTCTGCAAACCTCTCTCAACGACTTCCAGCACAGAACTGATTCATCAGCCAAGCCTTGCTTTCCCATATGTGAGCCCTCGCCTTGCCTCCCCTCCCCCAGGTCCTCCTCAGCCTTACTGAACAGCCCTCTGAGTAAGACTTTGGGGGTAAAGCCAGTACCCTTGGCAGGATAAAGAAACACTCCTGACCTGGCCTCTGGCTGCTTTTCTGTCCTCACCTCCCTCAACCCGTGAGTGCCCTAAGCTCCCCCAAGCTGTGCTGCTCACCCCCAGATCCTAGCATATTTCCCTGTAAGACTCCTGCTCAGCCACCAGGGCCCACTCCGAGCATTGCCCTTCCCACAAGCCTCCCTCCTGGCAGGTTCAGTGTCTTCCTGCCCTCATTTGTCATTATGGCTGACTAGGTCTCCCATCTGTGACCCCACCCACCCACCGTAGGCACACAACACAAATGCACAGAAGGGAGGGCATGGGTCCTGTGTGCCCACAGACCTTGCTTCCTACATAAGTGCTTTACAGAGCAACAAAGTCCTTTTGCTTGTGCAGGGATCAGAGTTGCTGGTGGCAGTGATCATATTAGGGTTGTCACTGTCATCTACACTGAAATTAAAATGGGAGCAATCTGTACAGGCTCACACTGAGCAGGCAGGCAAACACAACCCTCATGAAAGGAAAATCATTCCTGAAGGATGAAATTTCTCACTTGGCAAGAGAACTATATGAAGCCAGGGTGGTTTATTGTCTAATTATACTCTCTTTCTAGGGTTTCAGCAGCCTCTAGGGCTGAATGAGGGTCAAAGGGTCCACACCATCTGCTAACAGTTTGCTGGAGGGGTGGGGAGTCTGCAGTTAGATGTGGGCACAACCCGTCACCTGTGTTTTTCAGGCAAAGGCTCCGTATGCAGCACAGCAGTGCCCCGCCCAGTGCCCTGCAGGGACAGGCAGACACAGAGCTTACTGTGTTAAGTGCATGTCTCTGGATTGCAGGACAGTGGGCCTACAGGAAGGCTCTGATGACTACCACCTCAGAGGACATTGGTGCTGCAGCCTGGTACCATCCCGGGTCCTGCCTGCCCCCTCTGCAGGGTCACCAAACTCATCACCCACTTTGGGTGCTAGAGATGCCACCAGTCATCTGTGAAGGGCCCTCCCCGTCCTGGCCCATCTTATGCCCTTCTGAGTTGGTTTTCCCTGAGGTGGCCTTTCTCTCAGGGCTGCTTTAATTGGGATCAGAAGTGCTAATTATTGCAGCATCCCATGAAGCGGATCTCCAAATGCCAGGAGTCAGGAGGCCAAAGCTCGGGGCCGCGGCAGCAGCACACATCGAAAGTCGGGAGCTACCCAGCCATGCCGGGATGACGTGCTTCTGTTCCCTGGAGCAGCTGTTCACCACCGTTTTTGTTCACTTGAGCCACCTGGGACTTTGTTAAATTGTGGAGACCACATGTCCTCCCCTCGCTTCTGATGCGGTTGGAGCACAAGAATCTTCACAGGCACCTAGGGGACCTGAGCTCACCAGGCTGACACAGCCAGAAGGGTGCGGGGCAAGAGCTGGCTTATCTCAGGCAGCTCTCCTGGCCTCATTCTGCTCAGAGCAGGCCTGATCCCCCCTCGTGTCTATCAGGAACCCCCCACCAAAAGATGGTTCAAGCCAGAGTGTTGACAGCCCTGACTGAGCCCTGCATGTGCCAGACATTTGCCTGGTGGAGAGCTCGTCGAGCCAACATATTATTATCAGTTTCCCCTGAGTATGGGCGGGAAGGTGGGATCATTTTGTACCCCTTGGGCTTCAGAGTGGCCAGGGGTGCTCCTTCAGTCTTTTCTTTCAGAACCTGTTCCCTACCCCATCTGTACCTCACAGGAGGGAGCACTCCTTGGCCATCCCAGCTCTAGTGTACAGGAATTCAGGAGAGGGGCGTCAATGGGTCCTGGAAGTGCTGAGCCATGACCTGGCACAGTTCCCACTGTGATGACATTGGACTGGAAAGGTGCTTCTCTTCTGGGTACGCAGGGAATGGGCCAGGAAGGAAGCAGGGCTGATAACAAGACCCCGTGTGGACTCCACACCACCCAGCAGGCTGGTCTGCCCATTCATGGGAGTGAGCATCTCCCCATCCCGCGAGGGGCCATCTCTTGCAGCTGTGTGACATGCAAAGCCCTGCCCAGCCCTTCTCTGCCAGGCAATAGAAGGAGGGAGGCCTGGGCACACCTCATCCACACGAGAAAAGTCACTGGAATACGAGCCCAAATGGCATGAAGAGAGGGATAATCTTAATTCCTCATGCACTTGTTCAATTGGCATCAGGTATTACTACTGCTGTTAAACACTTCCAATCATTTACTTTCAGGGCAACAAATTACGTGCACCTTGCCTTTTCAGGACACCTCGATCTGGCCAGAAGGCACAGATGTTCTGTTCCTTTCATCTGCTTCCCTATGGGTAAAAAGACAGGTTGACAAGTGCTGGAAGGTCAGACTATGGGGTGGGCAGCTAGAGGAAGGAGGGGTAGGTGCTCAGATAGCAAGAGGACACAATCCAAACTGAGTACTTCCCAGCAGGGCTCAGGAGTGTGTGTCTGTGGGAGTGGGCTGGGTCACATGGGGAGTAAGGGCCAGGATCACGTATCAGTTATACTCTCCCATGGCATCGTCTGGTGCCATATTACTGGGGCTGCCCTCTACTTGGATGCTGGTTCTTCTGCTGGTGGTGGGGGGCCATGTGGGCTGGAGGCCCAGTGAGATGAGCCCTGGTGAGCCCGGCACCTCTCACAGACAGCTCCAGATGTAGATTCTGTGATCCAGGTTGGAGAGATTTAACACTCGTGGATGATTCACACTCAAAGCTGGGGGTAGCTGTAGGCTGGGGTGATTCCTCTGTAAAATCAAAGCATCAGGCAGGTAAAATGGAATTATTTACCCTGAGAGTTCAGTATCAGGCAGTATCAATAATGAAAAATATTTTTCTGAGAAATCTATCTCTCCAAAGGCAAATCAGATTGGAAGGAGGGGAGAAAATATTTGCCTGGTCTGAGGAAAGGAGGCATGACGGGACGAAGGCTGCCAAGGGGGGGGGAGCACTCAAGGACTCATCTAGCCAGAGCCTGCATTGTAGCTGCTCAGAAAATATGAAATTAACATAAATAAAAAATGCCTAAAGTTCATCAAAGATTGCTAGTCATCTCCAAAACCATTCTCCCTTTCCTTCCATCGTCATAGAACCTCCATTTTCTAGTTAAGCACATGATTACTCAGAATAAAAATTACTTTTCTGAATCCCCCTTGAGACAACATATGGTCTTGTGACCAAGTTCTGACCAACAAGGTGTAAGTGGCAGGATTTAGCTCTTGAGCTCTCAGAAGCTTCCCATAGAAGACAGCTGGCTGGCCATGCCCTTTCCCTTCCTCCCGCCTGCTAGCTGGCATGTGTGTGTGTGATGACTGAACCTGAGCAACACAGTGGACCAGGAGGCAACTACGTGAACTGAGATCACACACGGCAGGATAAAAGAATCCTAAGTGTCTGAGGACTTTGTGGAGTAAAGCCACAATTCTAGCCCTGGACACCCACCCTAGACTTTTTTTTATTTCAAAATTTTAGAGGGTTGCAAATGTTTTTGTTACAAGGATATCTTGTATAATGCTTAAGTCAGGACTTTTGGAGGCTCCGTCGCCAGAATAGTGTTCATTGCATCCAATAGATAAGTTTTTATCCCACATTTGCCCTCCTTCTTGGTCTTTCATGTCCTTTATATCACTTTGTGCCTATATAATCCATCTATAGCTCCCACTTACTAGTCAGGACACGTGGTGTCTGGTTTTCACTCCTGAGATACCTCACTGAGGAGGATGGGCTCCCATCCCCTCCAGGGTGTGTAAAAACACCACATCATCCACTCATGAACTGAAGGGCTTGAAGTCAATTCCACACCTTAGCAACTGTCAATCATGCTGCACAACCTCTAGACTTTTGTAAGAAGAAGAAACACATTTATATTTTGTTAAAGTCACTGAAAGTTTGTCTAGCAGCTCCTAGTCCAAACTAATGCACCATGGCCTTAGTTCAAATATTCAATATCCCTAATCAGGTGACAGTTTTCTGATAAAGCAGAACTAAATTTTTACCTGGCTGTGCTCGCTTGGCAGCACAAACACTAAAATTGGAATAATACAGAGAAGATTAGCATGGCCCCTGCATAAGGGTGACAGGCAAGTTTGTGAAGCGTTCCACATTGAAAAAATAAACTTTCCCTGCCCATAGGATGACACATCATAATGGTTCCATCACTCCCTACCACAGACCAGATACTATTGTGATATTAACTCGCTGGCTCTTCACAACAAATTGCAATTATTATCATTTCCCATTTGGCAAATGAGGAAACTGAGGCACAGAGAAATTCCACAACTGGCCTAAGATTATATAGTTAATGAGTGGATGTGCTGGAATTGGAGGATTCAGCCAGGGTGCCACTCTCTCTGCTTGATTCGCCGTTCTCACGGACTAGAACAGCTCCTCAGAAGTGAACAAGTAATTGCCACAGCAACAGTGTTCATTGTCAAAAAATGATAAAAATGAGGAAATATCGACAAACTATTTTCCTATAAGAACAAAAGAAAAGGGCGGCACCTGTGGCTTAGTCAGTAGGGCGCCAGCCCCATATACCAAGGGTGACAAGTTCAAACTCGGCCCCAGCCAAACTGCAACAACAAAAATTAGCCAAGTGATTTGGTGGGCGCCTGTAGTCCCAGCTACTCGGGAGGCTGAGGCAAGAGAAGGTTGCTGTGAACTGTGTGATGCCACGGCACTCTACTGAGGATGATAAAGTGAGACTCTGTCTCTAAAAAAATAAAATAAAATAAAGAACAAAAGAAAAAATAAGAGTCTTGTCTTGAGTCCTACCTATAGCTAATCAATAATTGGGTGTTGGTGGAGAGACACTTGAACACTAAATACCTAAGTCCCTGGAACCTGGGAGCTCAGCAGGCAAAAAAACAAGATTTTTTTCTAGAACAAATCTTAAATCTTAACTTTTGTCTTGAGTCCCTATTTTTCCCTAGGAGCAAATAATCCTGTTATTTCCAGATAAACTCTATTAAGTGAGTAGCAACAAAGTCATTTCAGAGTTTAAATGTTTTTCTCCCCTTATGCCCACCGTGCCTGGCTGTGCAGAGGCCCTGTGTGCCGGCCATAGTCTGGGGGGGGGCAGTGTGGGCTCAGGCCTCCTCTGCCGGTGGGGCCCCAGTGGGGGCCTCATCCCCACACCTCAGCTTCTGTGCATTCTGCCACGCCCACTCCTGAGCAAGTTTCACCAAAACCACTAGTCTTCTCACAGGTCTGCCTCCTCTTAGCACTGCTGGGACCTCGTGGGGTCCCAGGACCTTTTCTTGACCCCCACCCTCCCACCCAGAGCCCACACGGGTGTCACTCAAAGCTCTGGCCTGTGTGTGTCATGTACCTCCCTGAGACTAGGGTAATGGGACTGGCTGCTCAGGAGTCCTCACCACATGGCAAGGAGTTGGTCATCACTCATCTGGCCTGCACACTGAGTCCCTTCTTTGAGACACAGCCTCAGTGGCATTCCTTACTCATCACCTTCCCAAGTTTGGGAAAAGAGCTTTCTTCCCAGTAGTCTATGGAGGGAAAATAATGGGCTAGGTAAGTATTCTTTTCACTCATCATTTCTAGGTAAACTTCAGACACCTCCACGCTCATTTCTTAGCCTCTTAACACTCAAATACCTTATTCTTCCACCCCAAAAGCCAAGCTCTGGCTCACATTGGAGTCCTTGGTTTTTCAGGATATTTCTGCTGCAGTGTTCACGAGCCTGAGAACAGGTCTCTAAACTTGGCCTCTAATGTCAGAAAGAAGGGCAATGCAACAGAAAACATTACCAAGAATAAAGATGATCAGCTAAAATTTCAAAATATTTTCCTACCACATGGGCATGAACGGATCTACTGCATCTCAGAAGGTGCTCAAGTAAAGAGGCACTGGGAGGCCGAGGCAGGTGGATTACTTGAGCTCACACAGCCTAAGCAAAGCAAGACCCCGTCCCTATAAAAATAGAAAAACTGAGGCAAGAGAATTGCTTGAGCCCAAGAGTTGGAGGTTGCTGTGAGCTATGATGCCATAGCACTCTACCCAGGGTGACAGCTTGAGACTCTGTCTCAAAAAAAGTACACAGCCAAAGAAGCCTGCAGAGGAAAAGCACCCCAGGAGCTGTAGATCCCTGGGAACACCCCCAACTGCACCCCTGGAGCTGTGGATCCCCGGGACCAACCCAGACTGCACCCCCGGAGTTGTGGATCCCTGGGATCATGCCCCAACTGCACCCCAGGAGCTGTGGATCCCTGGGACCAGCCCCCCAACTGCATCCTGGAGCTGTGGATCCCCAGGACCACCCCCAACTGCACCCCAGAGCTGTGGATCCCCGGGACCACCACCGACTGCACCCCGGAGCTGTGGATCCTGAGACCACCCCCAACTGCACCCCAGAGCTGTGGATCCCCGGGACCACCCCCAACTGCACCCCAGAGCTGTGGATCCCCGGGACCACCCCCAACTGCACCCCGGAGCTGTGGATCCCCGGGACCACCCCCAACTGCACCCTGGAGCTGTGGATCCCCAAGACCACCCCCAACTGCACCCTGGAGCTGTGGATCCCCAAGACCACCCCCAACTGCACCCTGGAGCTGTGGATCCCCTAGACCACCCCTGACTGCACCCCAGAGCTGTGGATCCCCGGGACCACCCCCAACTACACCCCGGAGCTGTGGATCCCCAGGACCACCCCCCGACTTCGGTGTTTAGGCCACTTGTGGTCAGTTTCCTATTATTTATGGATTTGGATTTGAGGACTTTTCTCATAGCATGACAAATGTCCCCTTTAGGAGATCTCATGGAGATACTGCATCTGGCCTCACTTTCATAAATAACCCTGTTGCTGAGCAATTGGCTTGTTTTTGTCACTGGACATCATGAATTGTTATAAAATGCACGTGGAGTTTGTTTTACTCAGGGATAGGATGGCACACAGGTATGAAAATGACTGTCGTAGGGAAGAAGGTCATACTCACAGGTCCCTAGAAATAGGAGGCAGGGCCATGTGAGGACACCCTGGGGTAAGTGAGGACTGCAGGCCAGAGCCTTGCTTGTGGTTTCCACAGGAAAGGCAGAGAAAGACAGGAACCTTAGGGGTGGCTAGCTTTATTTATTTATTTTTATTAAATCATAAAGAGGTAGATCATGTATACATTAATGCATTATGGGGGTACGATGTGCTGATTTCATATACAATTTAGAATGCTTACATCATACTGGTTAATATATCCCTCATCTCATTTACTTAATTATTGTACTAAGACATTTATACTCTATGCTTAATAGGAGTGGCTAGCTTTAACTCTTTTAGCAGTCTCTGGGGCACAGCAGCTGTCCCTAGTGGTTTGTACTGGCTGTGGGGTGATTGGGGCAGGGGATCATGGCCCAGAGTGGGACAGCCCCAGGGAGGAGGTGGTTGGGGGGTGTAGGCTCTGGGTTGGTTGGTTTGCTTAGCAAAGGTGTGCTCACAGGTGAGCTGTTTACTGAACCCTGAGAGGGTCTTCCAGGGTCCGTAAAGCTCTAGGACAGTGTTTTTCAACCTTTTCCTTTTTTTCATCTCACAGCATACTTGAACCTATACTTAAACTTCCGTAACACACTTAAATTATGTTGGTCAAATAAAAAAGATATACTTACTGTGCTTTGAACTTCTTTTGAAAATAATTTAATATTTAAAACTTTTCACAGCACACCAGTTGAAAATCACCGCTCTAGGATGTCAAAGCATCAGAATAAAAAGCCACAAGGGCAGTGCCTGTGGTTCAGTGGGTAGGGCTCCGGCCCCCTAACCCGAAGGTGGCAGGTTCAAACCTGTCCCCGGCCAGACTGCAACAACAACAACAACAGAGCCATGATTAATACAATAATATGCCTGCTGGTATTTCCCTCTTAGCACAGCTGTCAATAATGTCAAAACCAAATGTATGGCTCACTTTGCACTTGGCTGTGTATTAACCTCACTCCCAGATTTATTTTAGCTTTCGAACCCTCTATGTTCCAGTTTCTTACTTGTTTTTATTTATTTATCTATTTATTTTAGAGACAAAGTCTCACTCTGTCACCCAGGCTGCAGTACAGTGGCATGATCACCATTCACTGCAGTTCAACTCTTTGGCTCAAGTAAATGTCCTGCCTCAGTCTCCCAAGTAGGTGGGACTATAGACAGGTGCATGCTGTCACTCCCTGGTAATTATTTTTATTTATTTTTTGTACAAATAGCATCTCACTATATTGCCCAGAATGGTCCTGGCTTGGCCTCCCAAATTGCCAGGATTACAGACATGAGCCATTGTGCCTTGCCTTTTTTTTTTTTTTTTTTTGAGACAGAGTCTAACTTTGTCACCCTCAGTAGAGTGCTGTAGCATCCTAACTCAAAGCAACCTCAAACTCTTGGGCTTAAGTGATTCTGTTCTCTCAACCTCCCAATTAGCAAGGACTACAGGCACCTGCCACAACACCTGGCTATTTTTAAAGATGGGGTCTTGCTCTGGCTCAGACTGGTCTTGAATGCCTGAGCTCAATCATTCCACCCATCTTCGCCTTCCAGAGTGCTAGGATTACATTCGTAAGCCACCACACCCAGCCTACCTGGCCATTATTTTATGTTTTATGATCATATATATACTACCATAAATTCCTTCTGGAATAAGACAGTACACAGGCAAATAAACAAATACCGCAACCTCCTGCAAGGATTTTCACATTATAAATAAAAGTATACAATAATTTTACAAGACACAGCTCTGTCCTTTGTACTTGACACCAAATCTCTAACATACATAATTCTCTTAACACAGCTAGATACTTCCAAATACTAACTGTATGGCTGAAAGCAATCCTCATCATCCAGAAACATTTAGCTATTTCTTAGTACAAGTACAGGAATGCTCATTTCTTTTAGGTTGTAAATAAATATAATAGTTAATCATAATTTGCTTTGTAGCAAACCAGAGTTGAACTCAAGTTCTAACTGTGCCCTTTACTCGCTGTGTGACATTGGCCAAGCCCCTCATACTCAGTCTCTCCGTGCGCCACGCGGGGTGATAGCAGCGCTCAGCTTGATAGGCTGTCAGGAGAGCACAGCCCAGCCACCGCAGTTACCAGATGTCTCTAACACAGGTGAGGACTCCCAT